AGTCAAATTTGAGGTTAAAGAACTAAATGCAAGGGAAAGCTATTTTGCGTCTCAGGTCGGACGAGCGGTTTAAGGCGCTGCAATCAGGTCGTAGTCCACTTGCCTGGGCGTTATTTCGAATCCCACTTCTGACAATGTATTTCTTTCAGTCATTGTTTGAGGTTAAAAAACTTTATGCAAGGGAAAGCTATTTTGCGTGTCAGGATGGCCGAGTGGTCTAAGGCGCTGCGTTCAGGTCGCAGTCCACTTCTGTGGGCGTGGGTTCGAATCCCACTTCTGACAATGTATTTCTATTCAGTCATTTTTGAGGTTAAAGAACTAAATGCAAGGGAAAGCTATTTTGCGTGTCAGGATGGCCGAGTGGTCTAAGGCGCTTCGTTAAGATCGCAGTCCAATTCTGTGGGCGTGGGTTCGAATCCCACTTCGGACAATAAAATTTTATTCACATACTTTTCTTAGGTTCCAAAACTAAATGTAAGGAAAAACTCTTTCACATGTCAGGATGGCCGATCGGTCTAAGGCGCTGCGTTTTGATCATATTCCACTTCTGTGGGCGTGGGTTCGAATCCACTTCTGACAGTATCATTTTATTCAGTCATTTTTTTTTTAGTTCTCATAACTTAAATCTAAGGAAACGCTCTCGCACGTGTCAGGATGGCCGAGTGGTCTAAGGCGCTTTAATCAGGTCGCAGTACACTTGCGTGTTCGGGGGTCCAACTCCCACGTCGAGCAATTATATTTAGTTGAGTTATTTTTTTTTAGTTCTCATAAAGTAAATTAAAGGAAACCTTTTCTCAAATTTCAGAATGGCAAAGCGGTCAAAGGCGGTGCGTTCATGTCGAAGTCCACTCGGTTTTGGCGTGGGTTCGAATCCCACTTCTGAAAATGTAATTTTATTCAGTCATTTTTTTTTAGTTCTCATAAACTAAATGTAAGGGAAAGATCTTTCACAGGTTAAGACTCCTGAGCGGTCTAAAGCGCTGCGTTTAAGTCGCAGTAAAATTCTGCAGGCGTTGTTTCGGATTTCACTTTTGACAATTATATTTCATTCATTAATTTTTTAAGTTCTCATTAATTAAATGAAAGGTAACACTCTCCCACGTTTCAGGATGGCCGAGCGGTCTAAGGCGCTGCGTTCAGGTCGTAGTCCACTTGCGTGGGCGTTATTTCGAATCCCACTTCTGACAATGTATTTCTTTCAGTCATTGTTTGAGGTTAAAAAACTTTATGCAAGGGAAAGCTATTTTGCGTGTCAGGATGGCCGAGTGGTCTAAGGCGCTGCGTTCAGGTCGCAGTCCACTTCTGTGGGCGTGGGTTCGAATCCCACTTCTGACAATGTATTTCTATTCAGTCTTTTTTGAGGTTAAAGAAGTAAATGTAAGGGAAAGCTATTTTGCGTGTCAGAAGGGACGAGCGGTTTAAAGCGCTGCAAGCAGGTCATAGACCACTTGCGTGTTCGTGGGTTCGAATCCCACTTCGGACAATGTATTTCTTTCAGTCATTTTTTGAGTTTAAAAAAGTTATATGCAAGGGAAAGCTATTCTGTGTGTCAGGATGGCCGAGTGGTCTAAGGCGCTTCGTTCAGGTCGCAGTCCAATTCTGTGGGCGTGGGTTCGAATCCCACTTCGGACAATAAATTTTATTCACATACTTTTCTTAGGTTCCAAAAACTAAATGTAAGGGAAAACTCTTTCACATGTCAGGATGGCCGATCGGTCTAAGGCGCTGCGTTTTGATCATATTCCACTTCTGTGGGCGTGGGTTCGAATCCCACTTCTGACAGTAACATTTTATTCAGTCATTTTTTTTTTTAGTTCTCATAACTTAAATCTAAGGAAACGCTCTCGCACGTGTCAGGATGGCCGAGTGGTCTAAGGCGCTTTAATCAGGTCGCAGTACACTTGCGTGTTCGGGGGTCCAACTCCCACGTCGAGCAATTATATTTAGTTAATTTTTTTAGTTCTCATAAAGTAAATTAAAGGAAACCTTTTCTCAAATTTCAGAATGGTAAAGCGGTCAAAGGCGGTGAGTTCATGTCAAAGTCCACTCGGTTTTGGCGTGGGTTCGAATCCCACTTCTGATAATGTAATTTTATTCAGTCATTATTTTTTATTTCTCATAAACTAAATGTAAGGGAAAGATCTTTCACAGGTTAAAATTCCTGAGCGGTCTAAAGCGCTGCGTTTAAGTCGCAGTAAAATTCTGCAGGCGTGGTTTCGGATTCCACGTTTGACAATTATATTTCATTTATTCATTTTTTAAGTTCTCATTAATTAAATGAAAAGAAACACACTCCCACGTGTCAGGAGGGCCCAGCGGTCTAAAACGTTGCGTTTAGATCGCATTCCACTCTGTTTGCGTGGGTTCGAATCCCGCCCTGACAATGTATTTCTATTCAGTCATTTTTTGAGGTTAAAGAACTAATTGTAAGGGAAAGCTATTTTGCGTGTCAGGATGGCGGAGCGGTTTAAGGCGCTGCAATCAGGTCCTAGTCCACTTGAGGGGGCGTGGGTTCGAATCCCACTTCTGACAATGTATTTCTTTTAGGGATTTTTTTGAGGTTAAAAACTACATGCAAGGGAAAGCTATTTTGCGTGTCAGGATGGCCGAGTGGTCTAAGGCGCTGCGTTCAGGTCGCAGTCCGCTTCTGTGGGCGTGGGTTCGAATCCCACTTCTGACAATGTATTTCTATTCAGTCATTTTTTGAGGTTAAAGAACTAAATGCAAGAAAAAGCTATTTTGCGTGTCAGGATGGACGAGCGGTTTAAGGCGCTGCAATCAGGTCGTAGTCCACTTGCGTGGGTGTTGGTTCAAATCCCACTTTTGACAATGTATTTCTTTCAGTCATTTTTGAGGTTAAAAAACTTTTTATGCAAGGGAAAGCTATTTTGCGTGTCAGGATGGCCGAGCGTTCTAAGGCGCTGCAATCAGGTCGTAGTCCACTTGCGTGTTCGTGGGTTCGAATCCCACTTCGGACAATGTATTTCTTTCAGTCATTTTTTGAGTTTTAAGAAACTACATGCAAGGGAAAGCTATTCTGCGTGTCAGGATGGCCGATCGGTCTATAGCGATGCGTTTAGATCACATTCCACTTCTGTGGGCGTGGTTATGAATCCCATTTCTGACAATAAAATTTTATTCAGTCATTTTTTTTAGTTCTCATAACTTAAATGTAAGGAAACGATCTCAATGTCAGGATGGCCGAGCGGTCTATAAAAGGCGCTGCAATCAGGTCGCAGTACACTTGCGTGTTCGTGTCCAACTCCCACGTCGAGCAATTATATTTAGTTGAGTTATTTTTTTAGTTCTCATAAAGTAAATTAAAGGAAACGTTTTCTCCAATTTACGAATGGCCAAGCGGTCAAAGGCGCTGCGTTCATGTCGAAGTCCACTCGGTTTTGGCGTGGGTTCGAATCCCACTTCTGATAATGTAAATTTATTCAGTCATTATTTTTTAGTTCTCATAAACTAAATGTAAGGGAAAGATCTTTCACAGGTTAAGATTACTTAGCAGTCTAAAGCGCTGCGTTTAAGTCGCAGTAAAATTCTGCAGGCGTGGTTTCGGATTCCACGTTTGACAATTATATTTCATTCATTCATTTTTTTAAGTTCTCATTAATTACATGAAAGGAAACACTCTCCCACGTGTCAGGAGGGCCGAGCGGTCTAAGGCGCTTCGTTTAGATCGCAGTCCAATTCTGTGGGCGTGGGTTCGAATCCCACTTCTGACAAAGTATTTCTATTCAGTCATTTTTTGAGGTTAAAGAACTAAATGCAGGGAAAGCTATTTTGCGTGTCAGGAGGGACGAGTGGTTTAAAGCGCTGCAATCAGGGTCATAGACCACTTGCGTGTTCGTGGGTTCGAATCCCACTTCGGACAATGTATTTTTTCAGTCATTTTTTGAGTTTAAAAAAGTTATATGCAAGGGAAAGCTTTTTGCGTGTCAGGATGGCCGAGCGGTCTAAGGCGCTTCGTTCAGATCGCAGTCCTATTCTGTGGGCGTGGGTTCGAATCCCACTTCGGACAATAAAATTTTATTCACATACTTTTCTTAGGTTCCAAAAACTAAATGTAAGGGAAAACTCTTTCACATGTCAGGATGGCCGATCGGTCTAAGGCGCTGCGTTTTGATCATATTCCACTTCTGTGGGCGTGGGTTCGAATCCCACTTCTGACAGTAACATTTTATTCAGTCATTTTTTTTTAGTTCTCATAACTTAAATCTAAGGAAACGCTCTCGCACGTGTCAGGATGGCCGAGTGGTCTAAGGCGCTTTAATCAGGTCGCAGTACACTTGCGTGTTCGGGGGTCCAACTCCCACGTCGAGCAATTATATTTAGTTGAGTTATTTTTTTAGTTCTCATAAAGTAAATTAAGGAAACCTTTTCTCAAATTTCAGAATGGCAAAGCGGTCAAAGGCGGTGCGTTCATGTCGAAGTCCACTCGGTTTTGGCGTGGGTTCGAATCCCACTTCTGATAATGTAATTTTATTCAGTAATTATTTTTTAGTTCTCATAAACTAAATGTAAGGAAAGATCTTTCACAGGTTAAGATTCCTGAGTGGTCTAAAGCGCTGCGTTTAAGTCGCAGTAAAATTCTGCAGGCGTGGTTTCGGATTCCACTCTTGACAATTATATTTCATTCATTCATTTTTTTTTTTTTTAATTCTCATTAATTACATGAAAGGTAACACTCTCCCACGTGTCAGGAGGGCCGAGCGGTCTAAAGCGCTGCGTTCAGGTCGCAGTCCACTTGTGTGGGCGTGGGTTCGAATCCCACTTCTGACAATGTATTTCTTTCGGTCATTTTTTGAGGTTAAAGAACTAAATGTAAGGTAAAGCTATTTTTCGTGTCAGGAGGGACGAGCGGCTTAAGGCGCTGCACTCAGGTCGTAGTCCACTTGCGTGTTCGTGGGTTCGAATCCCACTTCGGACAATATATTTCTTTCAGTCATTTTTGAGTTTAAAAAAACTACATGCAAAGGAAAGCTATTCTGTGTGTCAGGATGGCCGAGCGGTCAAAGGCGCTGCGATCAGGTCTCAGTCCACTTCTGTGGGCGTGGGTTCGAATCCCACTTCTGACAAAAAAAATTTTATTCACATACTTTTCTTAGGTTCCAAAAACTTAATGTAAGGGAAAACTCTTTCGCATGTCAGGATGGCCGATCGGTCTAAGGCGCTGTGTTTAGATCACATTCCACTTCTGTGTGCGTGGGTTCGAATCCCACTTCTGACAATAAAATTCTATTCAGTCATTTTTTTTAGTTCTCATAACTTAATTGTAAGGAAACGCTCTCGCACGTGTCAGGATGGCCGAGCGGTCTAAGGCGCTGCAATCAGGTCTAAGTACACTTGCGTGTTCGATGGTCCAAATCCCACGTCGAGCAATTATATTTACTTAAGTTATTTTTTTTTGCTCTCATAAAATAAATTAAAGGAAACGTTTTATAAAATTTCAGGATGGCCAAGCGGTCAAAGGCGCTACGTTCATGTCGAAGTCCACTCGTTTTTGGCGTGGGTTCGAATACCACTTCTGATAATGTAATTTTATTCAGTCATTATTTTTTTAGTTCTCATAAACTAAATGTAAGGGAAAGATCTTTCACAGGTTAAGATTCCTGAGCGGTTTAAAGCGCTGCGTTTAAGTCGCAGTAAAATTCTGCAGGCGTGGTGTCGGATTCCACATTTGACAATTATATTTCATTTAATCATTTTTTTAGTTCTCATTAATTAAATGAAAGGAAACACTCTCCCACGTGTGAAGATGGCCGAGCGGTCTAAGGCGCTGCGTTCAGGTGGTAGTCCACTTCTGTGGGCGTGGGTTCGAATCCCACTTCTTACAATAAAAATTTATTCAGTCATTTTTTTTTAGTTCTCATAACTTAAATGTAAGGAAAAGCTCTCGCACGTGTCAGGATCGCCGAGAGGTCTAAAAGGCGCTGCAATCAGGTCGCAGTCCGCTTGCGTGTTCGGGGGTCCAAATCCCACGTCGAGCAATTATATTTAGTTGAGTTATTTTTTTTTAGTTCTCATAAAGTAAATTAAAGGAAACGTTTTCTCAAATTTCAGGATGGCCAAGCGGTCAATGACGCTGCGTTCATGTCGCAGTCCACTTGTGTGGGCGTAGGTTTGAATCCCACTTCTGACAATGTATTTCTATTCAGTCATTTTTTGAGGTTAAAGAACTAAATGCAAGGGAAAGCTATATTGCGTGTCAGGATGGCCGAGCGGTCTAAGGCGCTGCGTTCAGGTCGCAATCCACTTCTGTGGGCGTGGGTTCGAATCCCACTTCTGACAGTAGAATTTTATTCAGTCATTTTTTTTTAGTTCTCATAACTTAAATGTAAGAAATGCTCTCGCACGTGTCAGGATGGCCAATCGGGCTAAGGCGCTGCGTTCAGGTCGCAGTTCACTTGTGTGGGCGTGGGTTCGAATCCCACTTCTGACAATGTATTTCTTTCAGTCATTTTTTGAGGTTAAAAACTTTATGCAAGGGAAAACCATTCTGCGTGTCAGGACGGCCGAGAGGTCTAAGGCGCTGCGTTCAGGGCGTGGGTTCGAATCCCACTTCTGACAATAAAGTTTTATTCACATACTTTCTTCTTAGGTTACAAAAACTAAATGTGAGCAAGACTTTTCACTTGTCAGGATGGCCGATCGGTCTAAGGCGCTGCGTTTAGATCACATTCCACTTCTGTGGGCGTGGGTTCGAATCCCACTTCTGACAATGTATTTCTATTCAGTCATTTTTTGAGGTTAAAGAACTAAATGCAAGGGAAAGCGGTTTTGCGTGTCAGGGAGGACTAGCGGTTTAAGGCGCTGCAATCAGGTCGTTGTCCACTTGCGTGTTCGTGGGTTCGAATCCCACTTCGGATAATGTATTTCTTTCAGTCATTTTTTGAGTTTTAAGAAACTACATGCAAGGGAAAGCTATTCTGCGTGTCAGGATGGCCGAGCGGTCTAAGGCGCTGCGTTCAGGTCGCAGTCCACTTCTGGGGGCGTGGGTTCGAATCCCACTTCTGACAATAAAATTTTATTCACATACTTTTCATAGGTTCCAAAAACTAAATGTAAGGGAAAACTCTTTCACATGTCAGGATGGCCTAACGGTCTAAGGCGCTGCGTTTAGATCACATTCCACTTCTGTGGGCGTGGGTTCGAATCCCACTTCTGACAATAGATTTTTATTCAGCCATTCTTTTTTAGTTCTCATAACTTAAATGTGTGAAATGCTCTCGCACGTGTCAGGATGGCCGAGCGGTCTAAAAGGCGCTGCAATCAGGTCGCAGTACACTTGCGCGTTCGCGGGTCAAACTCCCACGTCGAGCGATTATATTTAGTTATTTTTTTTAGTTCTCATAAAGTAAATTAAAGGTTACGTTTTCTCAAATTTCAGGATGGCCAAGCGGTCAAAGGCGCTGCATTCATGTCGAAATCCACTCGGTTTTGGCGTGGGTTCGAATCCCACTTCGGATAATGTAATTTTATTTAGTCATTATTTTTTTAGTTTTCATAAACTAAATGTAAGGCAGAGATCTTTCATAGGTTAAGATTTCGGAGTGGTCTAAAAGCGCTGCGTTCAGGTCGCAGTAAAATTCTGCAGGCGTGGTTTCGAATCCCACTTCTGACACTAAAAATTTACTCAGTCATTTTTTGTTAGTTCTCATAACTTAAATGTAAGGAAATGCTCTCGCACGTGTCAGGATGGCCGAGCGGTCTAAGGCGCTAACATCAGGTCGCAGTACACTTGCGTGTTCGGGGGTCCAAATCCCAAGTCGAGCAATTATATTTAGTTGAGTTATTTTATTTAGTTCTCATAAAGTAAATTAAAGGAAATGTTTTCTTAAATTTCAGGATGGCCAAGTGGTCAAAGGCGCTGCGTTCATGTCAAATTCCACTCGGTTTTGGCGTGGGTTCGAATCCCACTGCGGATAATGTAATTTTATTCAGTCATTATTTTTTTAGTTTTCATAAACTAAATGTAAGGGAAAGATCTTTCACAGATTAAGATTCCTGAGCGATCTAAAGCTCTGCGTTTAAGTCGCAGTAAAATTCTGCAGGCGTGGTTTCGGATTCCACGATTGACAATTATAATTCATTCATTCATTTTTTTAGTTTTTATTAATTAAATGAAAGGAAACACTCTCCTGCATGCGCGTCAGATGGTCGTGCGGTCTAAGGCGCTGCGTTCAGGTCACAGACCTCTTGTGTGGGCGTGGGTTCGAATCCCACTTCTGACAATGTATTTCTATTCAGTCATTTTTTGAGGTTAAAGAACTAAATGCAAGTGAAAAGCTAGTGGCCGCGGTAGCCGAGTGGTATAGGCATCGGATCGTGGCTGGCTTTAATCACGAGTTCGATCCCAGTACCACTAAAGACCCGCTTCGTGTAGGGCAGCGATGCACGCTAAATCTGTCGAGAGCTGAAACGTCCTCTGTTGGTGTGGTAGCTAGAGAGGGGGGGTGCCAGCTCAGGTGTCGTCCACGTCACTCTGACCATGGTTCAAAAATTACGTGGTCCGTCGCCAAAAAGCCCTCGTGTAGCTGAACAGTGCGACGTTAATCTTTCACTCACTCACTCACGCAAGGAAAGCTATTTTGCGTGTCAGGAGGGACGAGCGCTTTAAGGCGCTGCAATCAGGTCGTAGTCCACTTCCGTGGGCGTTGGTTCGAATCCCATTTCTGACAATGTTTTTCTTTCAGTCATTTTTTGAGCTTAAAAAACTTTATGCAAGGAAAAGCTATTTTGCG